GGCGGCCGGACCCCCGTGCACCACCGGAACGACTCCCCGCGGCTGGGCAAGGCGGGCTGCGCGCCCGAGCCGGCGCTGCAGATGGCGAACACGAACTTCCTCTCCGGCCTGTCCCCTGAGCACTGCAGGCCGCTGGCCGGCGAGTGCATGAACAAGCTCAAGTGCGGCGCGGCCGAGGCCGAGATCATGAACCTGCCCGAGCGCGTGGGCACCTTCTCCGCCCTGCCGGCCCTGGGGGGCCTCTCGCTGCCCCCGGGCGTCATCGTCATGACGGCGCTCCCCTCCCCCGCCGCCGCCTCGGCCGCCGTCTCGGACAGCGCGTTCCAGATCGCCAACCTGGCGGACTGCCCGCAGAGCCACTCGTCGTCGTCGTCGTCGTCGTCGGGGGGCGCCGGCGGGGCCAACCCCGCCAAGAAGAAGAGGAAGCGCTGCGGGGTCTGCGTGCCCTGCAAGAGGCTCATCAACTGCGGCGTCTGCAGCAGCTGCAGGAACCGCAAAACGGGACACCAGATCTGCAAATTTAGGAAATGCGAAGAGCTAAAGAAAAAACCCGGCACTTCGCTAGAGGTCAGAGGAGATGATTTCTTGTTTCCCAGTCTGCCCCCCTCCCTCCTCACCCCCCTCTCCCCTCCCCTCCAGGGCTTCTTGTCGGCCTTCAAGACGCAGTGCCCCTTCCTGCAGCCTCCCGCAGGGGGTGAGGCATAGCTCTAGGTTGCAGGGGCACGGCCTCCCGCCGCCCGCCCCGGTGCGCTGGGCGGGGAACGCCCTCCCCGCCTTTTAACCTCGGAGGAGAACTAATGTAATTGGTTTGAAAAATCACAAGTTTCACGGTCAATATGGTCAACCATTTCCCTTGGTGGTTGAAATGCCCCCCGCCCCCTTACTATTTTTAAAAGCATCTCTGCCCGAAGTATTGCACACATAACGTTCTCTATACCTTTATTGGTTAAGAGGGACTTCTTAGTGGCCCGGTTACAACAGTGAGGACACAGTGTGTGCACACAAGCCTGTGTTCCCATTCAAGCGCGCGCGCTCGCGCACACACGCACACGGGCACACAGAGTAAGCATTGAGGCTGAAATACATGGATTCAAAAGGGGATTTTCTACTCCCTTCTAGAATAGTTTTTCTTCTCATCATGATAAACTGTTTCTGTTTCCCATTTTATTTTCTGCATATCTAGCATTTTTTGAGAAAGCAGAAATAGTGTGGAAAGCTGAACACCACCTGCAGTTTTTAAGGAGATGTGACTTGGAATAAAAGGATACTATTAGTTCACTTCGGGCAGGTGATGGTAAATTTATTTAAGAATTGTTTACATAGTTTCAGAAACGAATGATTCCTAAAACTTTACCAAAAAATAGTTCCTTTGGGCTCTGCATTTCACAAAGTAACAATTTTGTGACCACAAAATTGTTTGTGGTCCACAAAATTATACAGCAAGCACAGTCTTGGTTGATCCTCTATATGGTCAATAATGCTTTCTTTTTCCTATATGTCCCTAAAACGGACAATGTACAGATTATCTCTAAAGTTCTTGTTAAATTAGGCTCTTTCTTATGTTAAATACAAAGATCCATGTGCTTGCTGGAAGTTTCATATGGTAACCTGATCAAAACAAAAAGAAAAAAAATGGAAAATCACAAGTAAATGGTTTTGGTGGAATATTTAGCAAAGAAATATGGACAAGTAACCATATTCAGCCCCCTGATAAAATTTAGAGTGGGCAGCTAGATGTTCCTATGTACATGAGAATGTAGGTGGTGGATTTAGCGTTTGGGATTGTTCTGTGGGCTGCATGGCTGGGTGAGAGTGGCTCTTAGTTATCATCAGAGAGGCACTTGCACATTCTTAAAAAAATTGTGAGCACTGCTTACAGGACTTTTCTCCATGAGACACTGGCTTTAAAGGTCTGGTCTTTAAAAGTGTGAAATAGAAGACTCAAAGATCTTTGTTGCAAGTGTGAACACAAATAAGATACAGATTTTTTTTGTTTTATTAATTTAAATCAAAGCAAATAGCACGTTGGGATTCCAAAAAAATCAGTTATTGTATTGATATCATTATTGATTGTGATCAGTTCCATCAAAATATTGCATTTATTCATCCATCTCTCTGTCCAAAGTTGGACTTGACTCTGGGGCGCTTTATTACATTTCCTTTGGCAACTCTGCTTAAGCAAAGAGGATAACCATTATGAAAATGCAGGTCCATGTATTTTCCTAGGTAGCAAAAATTAGTTTTTAGCTTTTGAATTCTCTTTTCTGGATTAATTTATTGTAACTTCTTTAGGTCTCTAAGGCTCATGGGAGATTAAAATTCAATTCATACTGAAATTTCCTGGTAATGCCCAGTTGGTAAGGACTACAGTGTCATTTTTCCTCTTGGAGGATAGTGTCAGCAATTGTCTAGCATTGTAGATTTGGTGTTGCTGATAGACCTCGTCTTTGGCTAGAGCCAGGGCACTGGCTGTGTCCCACTCTAGGCTATGTAGTGGACAGGACCACTGAATAGTTATGATTTATTCAGTAAATAACCTCCTTAAGGAGCTTCACATGAGTACCAATAGGTTTTCTGCACAAGTTTCTATGCTGACTTGTCAGTCTAAACAAATTTCATAAATTTTTTTTTTTTTGCCTTTTGATAGTTTTCCCACAAACTTCTTGTGATGTTTAAATTCCTTAGGCATTTTGACCACATATGATCCCATAGTATTGGGTTTTCTTTTTTGTGAGGAAGATCAGCCCTGAGCTAACATCCATTCTAATCCTCCTCTTTTTGCTGAGGAAGACCGGCCCTGAGCTAACATCTATTGTCAATCCTCCTCCTTTTTTTCCCCTTTTTCTCCCCAAAGCCACAGTAGATAGTTGTATGTCATAGTCTCACATCCTTCTAGTTGCTGTATGTGGGACCCCGTCTCAGCATGGCGGGATAAGCAGTGCGTCAGTGCGCACCCGGGATCCAAACCAAGGCCACCAGTAGCACAGCGCTCGCACTTAACCACTACGCCACGGGGTGGCCTCTCTTTTTTTTTTTTAAACTCCATGTGTACAGAAGTTCTGTTTATCTTCAGAAGGTGATGTGTGGATGGGAAGGGAAACACATTTCTCTCTGTAGATCTCTCAGAAGATGTTCTAACAACATACCTCTTCCTCCCAGAGAATGGGTCCTGAGGGCTAATTTTATTAGTGGAATGCTATTTGGCAGAAAGAAAGAAAAAATTTTTGTTTTTCTTCTGTAATTGGCTAAGATTCTGTCTAGGCCATTTAAAAAAGGCATGGCAGCCTGTTTCCCTTAAGCGCACGTGTAACCGCATGGCTGTGGATGGAGGAAACCAGCTGGACGCCTGTCAGGGGCAGGGTTTACATGACTGAACCAGAGCGGAGACAGTGGTTGCGGGTCAGCGGAGAGTCCCCTGGCTGCCCTGCTTCCCTCTCTCATTGTTCCTGTAAGTCATCATCTGTGGAGATGCTTCCGAGATCAGAGAGACACCTTAGCTGAGGGGAGTGATGGGGCTTCGTTGTGGATGTTACCTGTGGATTTCAGATGTAAGTTCACTAGTTAAGATTTGTTGGCTGTAAATTATAGACACTATTTAATACCTGGATCATAATAAGGACTTACATTCTTATTTATCACTTCAAACCTTATGTGCCCTTCTTTCCTTTGATTTATTCTCATTCCAAAGTCTGGAAGCATAATCAGATTTTCAGGGTGAGTTAACTGAAATTAAGACAGACTCACATGGATTGCCTACATTTTTAAAACCTCCCCTCTAGTATTCCTTTTAAAACTGCTTTACTTATTTCCACATTTTCATGCTTAGTCTCGTGTTAAGAACATCTTAAAGCCTTAGAAATATGTTTATAAAATCACCCCCTTGATAATATTTCATATGATAACAATGCATATAAAACAAATTTGGTTTTTCTATGATATTGTACATTGTATATTTGCATGTAACACTGTTCATTTAGTCAATTACTATATTAAAAAATCGTCACTAATTATTCAAAGCAGTTATTACAAATGCTGTATGCCCCTTGTGTGACAAAACTTATCTGAAAAACTTGTATCCTAAATGATCAATATTAAGTTTTGAGCTATTTAAGAAATATGGTTCTATATTATGATGATAAATTATATAATAGTACTTTGTCTCATACAAAGGTAATCCTTCAGTTTTTATGTTCAAAGCAGTTACATTTCTGATACTAAGATCTAACTTTTTAAAATATCCCAGCCTGATATGGCTCATGGGATAAAATTGTCCCATGGGCAACCCCAGCCTCTTAGTCCCTGAACATTGTTCAGGTGATGTGATTGATCTCTGTGGGACAGCATTAGAGACCACACAGCTCTGGTTTTTCTTCCATTAGCTGATTTATGGAATTACATTAGTAAGCAGTGCCTCAGGAGGTTTCCCTGCCCCCACTCTTGGCTTTGCTGCCAGTGTGCACACTGCCACCACCCAGGCTTCCTGTGAGCGGAGGAGGGACTAGACAGGGGCACATTACAGGGGAGAGACTGAGAAACCGGAAAGTCAGGAACAAGGATGGTTCCATTCGTTTTCTTTTCTTCTCTCTCTTTTTAAAATTTATCTGCGGAATGAGCAGGCCAACAAATAATTTTACACATGTTAGGTTGAGCTTCTAATGGATTTGGTGGAAAACACACAGATAGTGCCCCAAACTTGATAACTTGATTTAGAAGAGGTTTAGGGGGGAGGAGGGACACATTTCTTATATATGCTGTTAAGTTCTAAGAGCCCAGCCACCCAAATGGCAATTGTAAAATTCTGGACAAAGCGTTGTCTGCAGTTTGTGCAGGAAGATGGCACCCACTTCCTGAGGACATTCATTTGTAGACGATACATAAAATCGTGTGTCACTCAAACTCAGAGTCTGTGTAGTTACATAATGAAACCAGTCAATGATTGAACATGTCATAAGTTTTTGGAGTTTGATGACTTTTAAAAAATTTGTAGGTAAAATACAAATGTTCCCTATCTTAAATTAAAACATCTACTAGTTTGTCGTTTCATATCATAATTTAAAAATTAGTTTTCAACTTTTAGTTTCAAGAATCAAAAACATGCCAATATAAAAATTTAAATTTTTGTTTTAGTCTGAAAGTGCAAATATATAACTATCAAAGGGAAAGAGGAAACTTTTCAATAAATTCAAACCAAATGATAGTGTATTAACACTAGAATGTAACATAGAAATAATGTAGGAAAAAGGTCCTGAATTTCATAAATGGTAAGAAAAAAGCTCAGAAAAGTTCAGCTTTGACTAAAGTCAGAAAATAGATCTGTAGCCAAGACATCAAAGTGTAATAATACAAGTCCAGTGAGATTCTCTTTCCGTCGCTGGATTTAATACAAGGTAGTCAACGCTGTTTTTAAAAGAACCATATATTTTTAGTAATTCCTAAATGAAAATAATACCCCCAACCATCCAAATATCATGTAAGTTCTAAGCAATCTTTTGGATGGCAATTAGGAATAGTAAAATAAAAGCAGTTAAAATCCATTTGTAAATTGTTCTATAAGAATGTTTGAAATTCAGCCATCATCAAACAAAATGCAAACAAATAAACAATCAGAACAAATCAACAACAACAAACTTTAGACTTTAGTCAGATAAAAATATTTGGATATTTTAAATAAGAATGGAAAGTGTGTCTGTGATA